AATACTTAGCTGACAAAGGGCTTGTTGTTAGGATACATACAAATTCTGAAAACTCAATTTAAAAATCACTCAAAAACAAGAAACAAACAAAAAAAAAACCAGCCCAAAGATTTAAACAGGCACTCTACCAAAGAAAATATAAATAGCAAATTAGCACAGGAAAAGATGCTCCAAATCATTAGAGAATCAGAAAATGAAAATTAAAGTTACAATGAGATACCACTACACATCTACTGAGAAGGCTAAAAATTAAAAATTAAAATTAAAAAACAACCGACAACACCAAATGCTGGTGAGGATGCAGAGTGATAGGAACACTCAGACATTGCTTAGCGGGAATGCAAAATGGTACTGCCGTTCTGGAAAAGTTTGACTTTATTATTTTTTTAAAAAAGTAAACATGTACTCACCACATGACTAAGCAATCCCATTTCTAGATATTACCCAAGAAAAATAAAAAACATACACCCACACAACGACCTGTACATAAATGTTCTAGCAGCTTCATTTAATGATAGCCAAGAACTGGCAAATGGATAACAGATTGTGGTACGTGTATATAATGGAGTCCAGTCAGCAATAAAAATAAATAAAACTGCTGTAGACATCCACATGAATAAATCACAAAAGCTTTATGCTGAGTGAAATAAGGCAGTCTTAAAAAGCTATGTACTAGCCAGGCACAGTGGCTCATGCCTGTATTCCCAGCACTTTGGAGGCCGAGGTGGGTGGATCACTTGAGATCAGGAGTTCAAGACCAGCCTGGCCAACATGGTGAAACCCCGTCTCTACTAAAAAATACAAAAACTAGCTGGATGTGGCGGCATGTGCCTGTAATCCCAGCTACTCAGGAGGCTGAGGCAGGAGAATCTCTTGAACCTGGGAGGTGGAGGTAGGTTGCAGTGAGCTGAGATCACACCAGTGCACCCCAGCCAGGGCAACAGAGCAAGACTCCAACTCAAAAAAAAAAAAAAAAAAAAGCTGTGTACTGTAGGATTCCCTTTATATGCTATTCTAGAAAATGCAAATTATAGAGATAGAAATCCAATCAGTGGTTGCCAAGAGTTGGGTGGAACACAGAACTTGTGAGGGTGTTGGAAATGTTCTACATCATGACTGTGGTGGTGGCTACGCTATTACATACATTTGTCAGAACTAAACATTTTTATGGTGTGAGTTTCACTGCATGTAAATTATACTGCAATAAACCTGACAACAAAAAGAGAGACATTGAACGGCATCCATCCACCTCCACTTCTTACCAGGGAGCTCCCGGGAGCCTCTCCAGTGTCTCGCCTTCCTGCCCTGCCTGGGGTGGGCTGAGCAGCGCGGCATCCCTGCAGAGAGAATGGAGAATGGGCAACGCCCACACAGGGGAGTGGCATGGGGTGAGAAGGAACCATAGTCACATCAGCCCTGACCACCAGCCCGTCTCTCATCACCTTTCAGCAGAGGGAGCTCAAGTCAGGTTTCTGGCACCTATTGGCAGAGCCAGAGTCAAGACACAGGGGGTGGGGAGTGTTGTACAGATTACGGCTGATTCTGAATGGTCAGCGTAATCTGTACAACACATCTGTGCAATCTGAGCTTCCATACAGCAGCAGCTGCCCTGGACCCGTTCCCCTCCTGGTCAGCCCCTCCTGACCTTCCCAGGCCTGTGGGAAGGGCAATGACCATTATCACCTGGCTTTGATCCCCACAAAGCTTCGTGCAGTACCTAGCTTTTCTCTCTAGGATATTTGGGGAGCTGAGAGGGGAAAGGTCATGTTCACTTTGTATGAAATATTTAAAAATAAGGCCAGGCACGGTGGCTCACGCCTGTAATCTCAGCACTTTGGGAGGCTGTGGAGGGAGGATCACTTGAGGCCAGGAGTTCTAGAGTAACACAGCACGATGTCCTCTCTCCTAAAATGTTTTAAAAATTATCTGGGTGTGGTGGCAGTGCCTGTGGTCCCAGCCACCGAGGAGGCTGAAACAGAAGAATCCGTTGAGCCCAGGAGGTCTAGGCTGCAGAGAGCTGTGATCCCACCACTGCACTCCAGCCTGGGTGACCGAGCCAGAAAGACCCTGTCTCAAAAAAAATTTTTTTTAATTACAAAATAATAAAAGATTTAATGTAACCCTTACAACAGTCACCTGAGATGGATGCTACTACTGACTCCACTTTACAGATGTGGACATTGAGACGCACGGAAGTTAAATCTCCCTGTCAGGAGAAGCCCAGCTGAGGTTTAAGGCCGTGTGAAGCTGACCCAGAGCTGAGGGCTTTGGGACGCCGCCTGGCTCCGGGAGTTGTGGCTGTCCCTGCCCCACGCACATTTGGTTCTTACCCCTTTATCTGGGTCTTCATCCATGCAGCGAATTCCTCAACCACAGATGTCCCTCTGCTCTCTGACTCACAGCGAGCTCACTAGCCTCCTGCCGGGACCTGACCGCGTTCAGGCCACAGGGGGCGAGTGACACCTGGCAAGCCAAGCGGGCGAGGCCGCACCTGTGCAGGGCCCCGGCTCCTCCGCAGCGCCCCCGGCTGGAGGCCGGTGTAACTGCAGAGACCCCTGGATCCCGGCAGCTGCCTCCAGGTGACGCCGGCCTTCAGACCGTCCCTGCCTGGAGCGGGTGACGGGGGTCCTGCACTGCCGGCGGATGAAGAGGCGGTGAGGCAGCCCGCCGTGCAGAGCCCCCGTCGGCCGACAGGCGTACAGAGCTCTGCAGAGGACCCTGCCTCTCTGGGCAGCCTTCCAAGCCTTGCCACCCATATCCCAGCACTGGGCACTTGGGAGCATTGCAGCTGCCCCGGATCGTACCGGTGCCAGTGCTTTGGGCATCTGGGCTGGTTTGGACGTGGGTGCCCCGGGCAGAGTCCATTACGCAGGTCAGAATCAGTGTGCGGACCCTGCACAGACTTGTGGAGCGAGCTAGGGTGGGGAGGAGTGGACGGCAAGAAGTTGGTGGGGAAGAGAATCGGCGCCCAAAGAATACCCACAACATCTTGTGCCTGGGAGGCAAACAGAGGGCAGTGATCCCTGCAGACTTCCGGGGCGACGCCTGGAGCAAGAACAGCAACATACAAGGTGTTGCCTTGTGTGGTCTTGCCTGGGGTCTTCATGCTTCCTGCCTGAGTTCCCAGGAGCTTGTCTCTGCTTCTCTAGGCAGCTGCCACAGCCTCTCACAAACAGCTCCTGGCTCCTCACTTCCGGTAGTCTTAATTCCAAAATCTATTGCCCCACCCCCCCATCACCCACCCCCAGCCTCCTCTCCACCTCCACCCTCTTCCAGCACCTCCCCAACTGCTTGTCTTCTGTGTCTCTCCATAATCTCTCCACCTGGTAGGGGAAGAAGTGTTCCTTCCTCCTGTCTGCTCTTTGATGTCCAGCTGAAGTGCCACCTCCTCCAGGCAGCCTCCCCTGGATATGCCAGCTTGTGCTGATTGCCCTCTCCTCTGAATTCTGTAAGCATTTCCTCTGTGTACCTGCCTCTGGGTCCTGCAAGATGGGCCTGCCTTGTTAAGAGTTTTACCGTGTTCCTCTAGGACAGAATCTGATTGATCCCCTGGGTCAGGTGACTTCCCTGGGCAATCAATGGAAGCGGGGTCACATGCCCCATTTAGAGGTACAGACTTTGAGGAGGAGCATGGGCAACTCCTCCTAGGATGGGGTAGGGCAGGGAGGAAAGGGGGGCATCTCTGGTGCAGCCTGGTGCGGTGCCTCAGGCATCTGGTTACAATCAACACAAGCTGTTTCAGCCAATTTAAGGAAACTTCAGGAGGAAGCGGGTTTAGGAGGGCACGGGGACCCTCCTACACCCGAAGCCAGCATATGCCACCAATCATAAGGAGGTAGAGGCCACTTTCCACTGCTTCCTGGGACTCTGCGGGTCTCCCCGGTCTCGTGTCTCCATCTCTTTCTGCACTCCTGCATCTTCCTTCTCATCACCCTCCTCTGCTTTAAGCCTAAACAGGATGCCCAGGACCTGGCCTCAATCTTCGGAGTCTGGTGCCCACAGTGTACTGATGGTGTGAGACCCTATTCCTGGAGGATGGAGGACAGAATCGGATTGATCCCCTCAACAGAAGCCAGCAAGATGGGGTCATATGCCCCGTTTAGAAGTGTAGACTTTGAGGAGGAGTGTGGGCAACTCCTCCTAGGAACCAGTAGGGGAGGGAGGAAAGGGGGGCACCTCTGGGGCAGCCTGGTTTGGGGCAGCAAGACGCTTAATAAATGCTGATAGGCTTCAGGACACTGGCAAAGGTGTTGAGCTGGACCCTTTATTTCTGCCCTTCTCCCTTCTGGCACTGCAGCCAGGAAATTGCTGCAGCCTTTCGGGATTCCCACTCATTTTTCTTACTGGTTCACAAAAGAAGCCAAGTGGAAGCAGCAAGACCTGAGTTCAAATTAAATCTGCCAACTACCAGCTCGGTGGATCTGGGCAAGTAACACAGAGTTGAGTGTCCTTGCCTGAAAAGTAGAGGTTAGAGGGACGCTATGTGCAGTTTCGTGGGAGGGGGGGGGGGGAGTCTGTGAACAATTGGTGGTGCCCAGCATCCACGCACTGGGGACCCAAAGAGGGGCATCTTCTCATGGTTTTATGTATCAGAAACTGGGATGGCATGTCATTGGGACAGTGTCTTTTTTCTTGTATGGTGGCACATAAATAGGTCTGTCTTATAATTAATGGCATCCTAGATTTGATGAAATATGGAATATTACCTGTTGTGCTGATCTTGGACAAACTACATTGTTTCTGGGCAAAATGTCCCCATCTGAAAAACAGGGACAACGTCCCTCCCTTAGCCAGCCACTTGGGGCTAAAATGAGACCACATCTGTCAAGGGTTTTGCCCTCACCTCCCTCCCTGCTGGACGGCATCCATGGTGGGCAGAGGTGGGCTTCAGGTAACCCAAGCCGTGCTGAGCTAGGACCAGGAATGCTATTGCCACTTTTGTTTGTCTATGGAGAGGGAGGCCTCAGCACTCAGGGCCAAGCAAATATTTGTGGTTATGGATTAACTCGAACTCCAGCCTGTCATGGCGGCAGGACGGCGAATTTGCAGTTTCTCCATGACCCACCCCTGTGAGTCCCCCTCCGGGCAGGTATATGAGGGGTGTGGAGGGAGGGCTGTCCCCTGGAGAGGAGAGTTAGGTGGTGGTGAGGGCTGAGTCCTCCAGCCAGGGTGCTCGAGACCCCCGGAGCTTGGGGTAAAAGGAAGCGAGGCCCTCCACTGGCTCGGCCTGGCAGCCACAGTCCTGGGGCCCTTTGCCACGCGCCTCCCTCTTTCCAGGACGAGGGTCCCAGGGCCCAGGGCCATTCCGACAGGCAGTTTGGAGCAAAGGAACCTCCATTCTCCCCACTCCACTTCCACCTTTGGGGGTATCAGGTTTGAACAGATCTCAGAAGCAGCCTCAGAGGGAGTAGGCAAGAATGCAGAGCAGGGGCTGGCAGGGTGTGCAGAGGGCCAGGCAGCCTACCCACTGGGGCGGCTCCTTGGTCTCTGGTCCCCAGGGCTACCTCTGTGGCCTTGTGGGGCACCTGGTGGTTTGGGGTAGGGTTTGAGTTTCCATGCCTGGAACCACACAGGCCTGGCCTTGAGTCCTGGCTCTGCCACCTCTGGGGTTAGATTTTTAAGAAACCACTGAACTCCTCCGAGCCTCAGTTTCCCCCTCTATGAAATGGGGTTGACAGCATTAATAGCTACCTCTTGGGTGGTTGTGAGCCTTAACTGAAGTCATAATAGCTCGTGTTTACTGAGCAGGAGCTCTGTGCAAAGCCTGTTTGTTTGGAGAACTTTATGTGGATTAACTCCTTTAATTCTCACATCCTTTAAGGCAGAAATATAACATGTGATTCCATCTGTTTTATAAACGAGGAAGCGGAGGCATGGAGCAGTTAAGCATCGTGGCCCACACTGCCCTCCAGTAAGTGCTGGAGGTGGAGTTTGCACTGTGCAGTCTGGCGTCATGGCCTGCCCTCTGCATCCTGTAAAAATTGCTTGAAGGACGCCATGAGTGTCCAATCAACATTAGCTAATATTCTCAGCCCAGCCATCAGACCGAAGAGGCAGCCAACCCACTGCCCCCAGGGAGGGCACAAACATCCCGGCGCCCTCTCCACCGCATTTTGGAGCCGCTAGTATCTAGGCAGGCAGTGTGACCTCAGCCCCACATAGAGGGGACAGTTGAGGACTTCTGAGGGTGGCTATGTGTCTAGCGAACAACGGCCCTCAATCCCAGCTTCCACCCTAACAGCCAGCAAACAGGGACAGTCCTTCCATTCCGCCTCCACCTGGAAGGTGCAGGCAGAGCAGCGGTGGGGGTGGGCATTGCCCGCAGCTCAGAAGTCCTCCTCAGACAGGTACCAGCGCCTCTGGAATGTGGCGGCTCGCAAGCCTCCTGCTGTTCCTGGCCACCTGGGGAATTTCCAGCACACCAGCTCCTCTCGGTAAGGCCTCCCCACCCCTACCCCAGGACCCCTGTGGCCTCTACAAGGCCTGAGTGGGCATCTGCCCAGGACTTCACAGCTTCCACCATCTCTCTGAGCCCTGGGTGAGATGAGGGGCAGACGGGAATGGCAGGAATCAACTGATCAGTCCCAGGTGGGCCAGCTGCCAGAGTGCCACACAAGGGCTGCCAGGGCAGGCACGCGTGACAGCAGGGAGCCCCGTGATTACTTCCTAAAGCTCCCTCCGCCCCACAGGATAGTCGCAGAGTCCCCTGGGACTTCCCTCTCCACCCCCTCACTCCCTCGGCTGTGAAGACCCCAGGCCCAGGCTACCACCCACACTGCCCAGCGCAGCCTCTCCTCCTCAAATGCACGTCCAGCTCATGGCTGCCCTGCCCCTGCCCCAGCCCCTTTCCTGGTCTCCACAGTCAACAGGAGAAGGCCATGATTCTTGGGGAGGTCTGCGGGACACGCAGGCCCCTAGAGCCACAGCATTCTGTTGGTTGCATTTCTACGTTTACTGAGCTGCTTATCTGCCTGGGACCTGTACCCCCACCTTTCCTCCGAGCTGTCCTCAGCTCAGGCACATCTCCTCTACGATGTCATTCCCTCCAGCCCTCATCCTCCCTCCTAACTGTCCCCTGCACCCAAGACAAACACTTCACGAAGCCCGAGAGACATTTGGTGACTCTCACTGGGTAACAGGTCTGTTTGTCCTCGCCCAAGGGAAGGAGCATGGGGAATGCTTGGCTGGGGAGGAGAGGGAGACTGGGGGATACATCGAGATGGGCTGCACGCTGTGCACTGGAGGAATGTGAGGCGATTAGCTTGGCAGTCTTTACAGCGGCAGCCAGGGCACTCATCCTTGAGTGCTTATCTCTGGGCCAGGGACGGTATTGGGTGTTTTACATGGCGATCTCATTCCCATGTTTTGGATGAGTAAATAGAGGCTGAGTGGAGCGATGAGGAGGCTGGCCCTATGGTGTTGGCCAGGCACATGTGACTGCAAGAGGTAAAAACACTGGCTCAGATACACAGAGGTCAGGGTGGGGTTCACAGGGAGGCCTGTCCATCTCAGAGCAAGGCTTCCTCCTCCAACTGCCACCGGCTTCCCAGGGAGGAAGACAGCAGAGAAGCCCAGTGCCTGGCTATGACCTGGAATTAGCATGAGTCCCGAGGGGACGGAGACAAGAACTTCCCAGGCTCTCCTGGCTGGGCTTCCTCAGACCCCCTCATGGCCCCAGCCCCTCTCAGGCCCCTCCACCAAGGTGAGCTCCCCCTCCCTCCAAAACCAGACTCAGTGTTCTCCAGCAGCGAGCGTGCCCACCAGGTACTTCGGATCCAGAAACGTGCCAACAACTTTCTGGAGGAGCTCCGGCCTGGCAACCTGGAGCGGGAGTGCACAGAGGAGATCTGTGACTTTGAGGAGGCCAAGGAAATTTTCCAAAACGTGGATGACACAGTAAGGCCACCACAGGTCCAGGGGATGAGGCTCAGGGGTGAGCTGGTGACCAGCAGGGGCCTGGAGGAGCAGGTGGGGGCCCAATGCTGAGGCCCTCTTAGGAGCTGGGGAGGTGGTGGGTGTCAGCCCCCTCTCCTCCCGCTTGTGGGGGTGGCTGAGGGGAGTGAGGAGGATGCTGGCCTTATGGTGTTGGCCAGGCGCATGTGACTGCAGGAAACAGAACTCGAGAAGAAGCTCCAGTAAAGGGTGTGGGGCAGCCCTAGGCAGGGACTCCCACCCAACCACGCTGTAGGCGGTTTCGTCTATCCTCCAGCCACCCCTGAGCACCACTGCCTCCCCTCCTTGTCTCACAAAGACCCAGAGACCACCCTGCTACCACCCATGCCCCTGCTGATCAGGGTATGTGTGACCGAGACTCACTTCTGTCCACATAAAATCGCTCACTCTGTGCCTCACATCAAGGAGAGAAAATCTGATTGCTCGAGGGGTCAGAAGACAGGATCTGTGTCCTATTTGCCTAAGGGTCCAAGTCCTTTGGGACCCCCAGAGCCCTGTGGAGCTGGCCCCAGGTAGTAGGGTGAGCTTGGTAAGGGGGCTGGCTTCCTGAGACAAGGCTCAGACTCACTCTGTTCCTGGAGCTCGCTTCAACCACTAGGACCTGAAAGTTGTGCCCAGACCCGGCCTTCCAAGGCATCCATCTGTAGGCATGCTTTCCCAGCGCAGGCTTTCAAGGCAAAAGGAGACCCTCTGGTCTGCACCCTCTCTTGCCCTCAGCCTCCACCTCCTTGACTGGACCCCTAAATGCCCCCCTCCATCCGCACCGCCTCTTTCCCCTATGGCCTCTCTGGCAGAGCCACAATGACCTTCTGCCGCACACATCTGATCACATCAAGCGGATGCTCCCGCCTCACCCATGCTCTCAGCCACCGCAGGCCTTGGCTGGCCTCTCCGATGGAGCAGGCATCTCAGCGTGGGGTGGCTGGCCCCAGACCACCAGCAGCAGCAGCCCAGTCCTGATACCTGGTTAGGAACGCAGACCCTCTGCCCCCGCCCCCCCAACTCTGAGAACACTGGCTTAGGGAAAGGCTAGGTGCTCAAGGGTCCTTGAGCTGGTGCGTAGAGGGAGCTGGAAGGAGGCCGAGCGACCTGGCGAGGGATTCGGTCCCTTGCGTTGCAGAGGCTGCAGAGGCTGCTGTGGGAGCGGACAATCGCTAGAGCAGTGCTGGAGCTGCTTGGGAGAGGGCGTTGCTCGAGGGACGCGGGATCGAGGCTGGGCGCGGGTGGGGGATGCTGGAGGGCGGGGGAGGCGGGCGTGGATCCCCGTGTGTCCGGAAGCGCTCCTGTCCCCTGCCCACTCACCAGCCGCCCTGCCCCACCCCGGCGCGCCCCCTCCACACACCCGGCTGCAGGCGCCTGACGCTGCCCGCTCTCTCCGCAGCTGGCCTTCTGGTCCAAGTACGTCGGTGAGTGCGTTCTAGATCCCCGGCTGCTCTGCCGGCGCCCGCGGCCCTCAGAGTCTCTGGCCGCTGACCCCCTGCCCCGCCTTGTGTCGCAGACGATGACCAGTGCTTGGTCCGGCCATCGGAGCACCCATGCGGCAGCCTGTGCTGCGGGCACGGCACGTGCATCGACGGCATCGGCAGCTTCAGCTGCTACTGCAGCGACGGCTGGGAGGGCCGCTTCTGCCAGCGCGGTGAGGGGCGAGGGGGGCGCAGGCGCGCGGGCGGCGGGCCGGGGCTGGGGTCGGGGGGCGCCGCACCAGCGCCCTTTGCTTGCTGCCTCCCCTGCCCGCAGAGGTGAGCTTCCTCAACTGCTCGCTGGACAACGGCGGCTGCATGCACTACTGCCTGGAGGAGGAGGGCGGACGGCGCTGTAGCTGCGCGCTCGGCTACAAGCTGGGGGACGACCACCTGCAGTGCGAGCCCGCAGGTGAGAGGCCCCCATACATCGCCCAGGAACCGCGACGGGTGCTCGCGGGCGGCGTGCGCAGGCCCCTTGACGGGGCGCGGCACAGGAGGCTTCTAGGGAGGGAGCGAGGAGCAAGTTGAGCCCGGGGGCAGCGGCAGACTTAGTGCGGTCAGCCAGGGAGCGGGGCGGCCCCTCCGCTTTCTCTGCTTGCTCTCTTCCTGGCGTCCCCGCCTTCCTCTGCGCGTCCCTGCCCACCTGGGGCCACCTCCCGGAGCGCGAGTCCAGGGGTGGCTCCGATCTCCAGTCTGAGCGGATCGGGGACCAGGACTCCAGCGCCTCCATCTAACCTGGCTGCATTAATTTTCTTTGATGTTGTCCGGCCAGAATCGCAATTCCCTCTTTACCCCTTGCTTCTTTGAGGAGAGAACAGAACCCTGATTCTGTCTTCTTGTATATTTTCCTTTTTATGCATTTTAATCAAGTTTATATATGTACGAAACTTTAAAAATCAGTTTTACAACTCTTACATTTTAGCATGCTGTTCCTTGGCGTGGTCTTTTTTTCATTCATTTTCATCATAAGGTGGAGCTTTTTAATGTGGAAATTCGTACTTTCTCCCTCTGGGAGCATGTGTTACTTATTCCTTCAATCTCCCCTTTGCTTCCTCTGTTTCTCTTTCCGGGCCTCCCATTATTCAGACCTCTTTCCCCTAGTTTTAATGTGTCTTCTATTTCTCATTTCTTTGACTTTGTGTTCTTCTTTCAGGGAACTTTCTACAACTTTATAGTTCAGTGCTTCTGCTGAAAACAATTTTTGGCCAGGATCAGTGGCTCAGATCTGTAATTCCAGCACTTTAAGAGGCTGAGGTGGGAGGATTGCTTGAGCTTGGGAGTTTGAGACCAGCCTGGGCAACATAGGGGAAACCTGTCTCTTTTTTAAAAAAGGAAAAAAAAAAGAGTTAAAGTTTTAACTTTTTATTTTGAAATAATTAGAGATTCCCACGAAGCTGCAAAGAAACACCTTGTGGGCCTGTTGGCCTATGGGCTTTCCTGCCAGGCAGTGGGAAGGCTCTGTCATTGGCAGGACACCAGGTCATGAGGGTTTTCCTTTGAGGCTGCTTTCCTAGAGGAATCCACCAAGCTCTTGGAGGACAGAGGATGCTCCCTATGGCGTTCGGCCCCTTGGAGCAGGGTGGACCTTTGCCTAACTCCCTGTGGTCAGCCAAGAGCACCACTCCCTCCCCAGGCGGGCCTGGAGTCCCTAGTCAGAGTCTCTGGTTCACATTCTGCAGGCAAGGAGAGGGGAGTCAAGCCAGTGAGGAGGGCTCTCGCAGTTTCTCTTACAAACTCTCAACAGCCCCCCCACCTGCACTGCCTTCCCGGAGCCCCAAGGCCTCCTGTTTCTGTGGTCCAATCCTGCTGAGATTTTGCTTTCCAGTCTGCCAAGTCAGTTACTGTGTCCATTCATCTGCTGGCAGCTTCTGGAATGGTGTTGCTGTTGTGTCCTCTCCATTTTCTTGTCATTATGCAGCTCCCCTGCTGATGGCGCCCCATTGCCTCTTTAAGTCTAGCTATCTGGACTTGGCATTCAAGGCCCATTTTCAGCAGACTCAGGCTGACCTTCCAGCCCTCAGTTCTCCATGGTGTATGCGCTCTCTTCTTGTCAGGGAGGCCTCACAAACGTGTGTTCCTACTGTAGGAGCTCTCCAAGAATGCTCACCTCCTTCTCCCTATAATTCCTCTCCTCTGTGAGGAGCTCGGCAGCATCCCAGCATAAGACCTTGCTAATGTATCCCAGGGACCACCCCCAATCCTGGGTTACAATGAGCCTTCAGGAAGTTTAATGACCTATATAAGAACCACAGCCAGCAGGTGATATGGCCTGGTCTGACTCTTGCCATTCGGTGGCACGGTTTGTTGACTGACTGACTGACTGACTGACTGGAGCTGGGTTGTAGCTAATATTAATGGAGTGGTCTAAGTATCATTGGTCCCTTGAACCCTGCACTGTGGCAAAGTGGGCTGTAGGCAGGAGGAGAACAATGACAACAGGGCAGTCTCCGGAGGAGTGCCTGGCAGGCCCCTCACCACCTCTGCCTACCTCAGTGAAATTCCCTTGTGGGAGGCTGTGGAGGCGGATGGAGAAGAAGCGCACTCACCTGAAACGAGACACAGAAGACCAAGAAGACCAAGTAGACCCGCGGCTCGTCGATGGGAAATTGACCAGACGGGGAGACAGCCCCTGGCAGGTGGGAGGCTCTAGGGCCGGGGTCACTGAGCCCCTCCCCGCAGCTGTGCTCAGGGTGCAGAAACCGAAAGGGAAGCTGCCATTGCTTGCTTGCAGGGGATGATAAAGGTGGGGGATACTTCAGGGAAAGAGAGAGGCAACCTGGGGGGAGGGGAGCAGGGGGGGGGGGGGGGGGGGGGGCATGGGGCCATGGAGGGGGGATGCAGGACAGAGGGTTACAGTCTCTAAAAAGAGCTGGAAAGACACTGCTCTGCCGGTGGGATTTGAGGAAGAAGCCCACCGATGGGGGAGGGCTAGGAGGGAGGGCTGGGCCTGCGTAGCCCTCCAGCCTCCACATGGGAACTGACACTTAGTGGGTTCCCCTCTCTAACAGGCATGGGAGCGATAGAAACCAACAAGAGGGGGTATTGGCCCTGGGGACTCAGACTCCGTGAGGGTCAGGACCCCAAAGACCGGGCAGCCCAATGGGGTCAGAGCCAGGAAGGCCCTTCAACAGAGGGGCTGCGTGGGGCCCAAGGGGAATACCCAGGCATCCTGGGGGCCACAGAGTCTTCCTGGAGGACACAAGTCCTGGCCAAGGCTCCAAGGATGAGAGGAGCTCGCTGGGTGACACTGGCTGTAGCTGAGGGTGCCTGGAACAGTATGGCCAGTACAGGAACAGCATGGGCAGTCAGGAAGACACCCTGGGACAGGATAACACTGTAAAATGGGCAAAAATAGAAAATGCCAGAAAAGGACCTAGGCCTATGCCCACATGACCAGGGAACCCAGGAAAGTGCAGATGAGACCCAGGTGCCCTGAACTGGAGGCAGGCCTGTGATGTCATCATTTTGCCCTATTGCAGGTGGTCCTGCTGGACTCACAGAAGAAGCTGGCCTGTGGGGCGGTCCTCATCCACCCCTCCTGGGTGCTGACAGCGGCCCACTGCCTGGAGGACCCCAGGAAGCTCCTTGTCAGGCTTGGTATGGGCTGGAGACTGGCAGGAGGGGGGCTGCCAGAGGCCTGGGTGGGGGGACCAGGCAGGTTGTTCAGGTTTGGGGGACCCTGCTCCCCAGGTGCTTAAGCAGGAGGCTTCTTGAGCTCCACAGAAGGTGTTTGAGGGGAAGAGGCCTATGTGCCCTGCTCTGCCCACCCCGTGACACCTGGTATTTTGCAGTAGGGGGTTCTCTGGTGCTCTCTTCGAACCTGGGCACAGTTACCTGCACACACATGTTTGTGAGTGAGGGGCTACACAGACCCTGCCCTCTGCACTCCCACTCATGTGGAGCAGACTATGTGTGGGCCTCAGCACCCTCAGGTGCAGAGGCCAGCAAGGCCTGGCCTCAGGGCTGTGCCTCCCATGGATGGATGGGGATGGGGCTGTGCAGCGGGAGTCCTGGCATCTGCCAAAGCCACGAGTAGGTTGGGGACGCCCGGGCATCACCCTCGATCTATGGCAATTTCTGGAATGGGGCATCTGGCTCAATTCTTTATGCCAAAAAGTAGAAAAAGTATACTGAGAATGACCAAATTCACATTTGCTACAGCATAATCTATAGCCAGTGGCCCCCCAAGGGGCTTGGGTTAAAATTTCCAGGTGCTCTTCCCCAGGAACCATCAGTCTGGCCTGAGAGGACCTTCTCCCTCAGGTGGGACCTGCGCTCTCCTCCCTGGCAGTGTCGTGTGCTGGGGGTCCTCCTCTCCCGGTCTGCTGCTCCTGCCCTGGTCTCTCCAGCTACCGTTGCTCCACATTTCTCTGGGGCTCTGGTCTGTGTCTGTGGTTTTCAGGGGCCTCGGGCTTCCCTGCTGCCCATTCCTTCTCTGGTTCTGGTCTCACCTTCATGAGTCCTGAAAATGGACAGCATCTTGCCCCTTTGCGATTGACACCGTTGGCCACTCCTTCTGGCAGGAAAAGCCACCATGGATAGGGATCCACGGCATAGACAGGTGGCTCCAGGCAGTGCCTGGGACGTGTGGGTACACAGTCTCCTGGATGGTCCCTCTTCAGGCCCCCAGCCCAGGCCTGCAGGGGCACAGCCGTGGGTGGGCCTGGGGAAAGTGCTGTGGGGGAGAGGCTACCCGCAGCCCACTCTGACGGTGCCCTCTGCCCTGCAGGAGAGTATGACCTGCGGCGCTGGGAGAGGTGGGAGCTGGACCTGGACATCGAGGAGGTCCTGGTCCACCCCAACTACAGCAAGAGCACCACAGACAACGACATCGCGCTAGTGCGCCTGGCCCAGCCCGCCACCCTCTCGCAGACCATCGTGCCCGTCTGCCTCCCGGACAGCGGCCTCGCAGAGCGCAAGCTCACTCAGGCGGGCCAGGAGACCATCGTGACGGGCTGGGGCTACCAGAGCAGCCGAGAGAAGGACCCCAAGAGAAACCGCACCTTCGTTCTCAACTTCATCAAGATTCCCGTGGTCCCGCGCAATGAGTGCAGCAAGGTGATGAGCAACATGGTGTCTGAGAACATGCTGTGTGCGGGCATCCTCGGGGATCGGCAGGACGCCTGCGATGGTGACAGTGGGGGGCCCATGGTCGCGTACTTCCGCGGCACCTGGTTTCTGGTGGGTCTGGTGAGCTGGGGTGAGGGCTGTGGGCTCCTTCACAACTACGGTGTTTACACCAAAGTCAGCCGCTACCTCGATTGGATCCACGGGCACATAAGAGACAAGGAATCCCCGCCGGAGAGCCAGGCGGCACCTTAGCAACCCTCTTGCTGGGCTGGGCTTTTGCGTGGCAATGGATGGAGCATTAAAGGGGCATGTAACAAGCACATGGGCCTGCTGTTCTGTCCTTCCACCCCTCTTCTGGGCTGTTCTGGAGGGAAGTAACATTTATTGAGCACCTATTGTATGCCTCATGCCTTATGAATAGAACCTTAACTCCCAGACCAATTCTGTGGGGTGGGGAGGAGCAGATCCAAGTTCTGCAGGGTCTAAAGCTGTGTGTGTTGGGGGAACACTCTGTTTATGAAAAAGAATAAAAACCACGACCACAGAGGCGCTAGAGCCCTTCCCAGGGCTTTGGGAAGAGCCTGTGCAAGCCGGGGATGCTGAAGGCGAGGCTTGACTAGCTCTCCAGCAAGCCCAGCTTTGCAGGTAGATGGGTTTAGCTCATATCACAGAGGAGGAAACTGAGGCTCTGAGAGGATTACATAGTGAAGCCAAGATTCAAATCTAGGTCAGATTCCAAAACCCAGGTGCTTTTTTCTCTTCTCCACTGTCCTGGAGGACAGCTGGTTCCACGGCACTCGGTGTGGTGGCCAGCATTAGCTCTGCCGGGGAGCAGCCAGAGACCTAGAAAGTGTTGGTTCAGCTCAGAATGAGCTCACAGTGTCGCTGGGGCAGCTGTTTCAGCAATGTTACACCACCATAAACAGCAGAAAGAAAAAGTCTCTGGCTTAACCTGGCCTGATAGGCCTCATTGGATGAGACAGAAATAAGTCCAGGATACTCTGATCTGAAATCACTAAGTACCTGATAAAAGGAAATGCTGGTGAGATAAAGCTGAGAAAATTCATCTAAAGCCCAAAATTGGTTTAGCTGTCTGTGTGGCCTCCGGCAAGCCTTTTCTCCTCTCTGGGCATGGTGGTTAATCTCAGGTGTCCATTTGACTGGATGAAAGGATACCCAGCTGGCTGGCAAAGCATGATTTCTGGGTGTGTCTGTTAGGTGTTCTGGAGGAGATGGGTGACTGAGTCAGGGGACTATGCGGGGAAGATCCGCCCTCAGTGTGGGCGGGCACCATCCAATCAGCTGGGGACCCAGATGGAATAAAAAGGCAGAGGTCAGGTGAATTCTCTGGCTTGCCTGGAGCTGGGACACCCTTCTCCTGCCCTTGGACATCAGCTCCAGGTTCTCAAGCCTTTGGACTGTGACTTACACCAGCAGCCCTCCAGGTTCTCAGGCTATTGGCCCTGGACTGAGGGTCCCACCATAGCTCCCTGGTTCGGAGGCCTTGAGATCCGGACTGAGCCAGGCCAGCTTGCAGGTCTGCCATGGGACCCCTCAGCCTCCATGATCACAGAAGCCAAGTCCTCTAATAAGCTCCTTCTCATCTATCTGCATCTGTATACACATCCTATTGGTTCTGTCTCTGGAGAACCCTGACTAATCCAGGGGACATCAGTAAAATGAAGGGATTGGATGACCGCAGTGATTCTCCAACCTGGCTGCACATTTGCATCTCCTGGATAGCTTTTAAAAACACTGATGTCCAGTCCCACCCCCAGAGGTGCTAATTTAACTGACTGGGCTGGGGGAGGGGGAGGACCCAGACATTGATACTTCTCCAACTCTCCATTTCATTTTAATGTGTTCACTGGGGTTGAAAGTGACTGGGTCAGGCCAGGCACTGTGGCTCACACCAGTTATCCCTGTGCCTTGGGAGGCTGAGGCAGGAGGATCGCTTGAGCCCAGGAGTTCGAGGCCAGCCTAGGCAACATAGGGAGAACTTGTCTCTATTTAAAATAATAATAATAATAAATAAAAATAAATGCATAGAAATGAACCAAATGGTCTTTAAGGGCTCTTCTCCTCAGGTGAGCTCTAGTTCTAAAATTCTCCAGGCCACCAGGGATCAAGCCAGTTACCCGAGAAAGCACAGCACAGCTCCATCCATAGTAAAGTAACGGAGGACTCGATCTGTGGTTACACGCAGCTTGTCAGGCTGCAGCTGCAGCTTACAGACCAGAGGGGACACCAGGACCCACAGAGTTAGTTATCCGTGTGCGGCCACAAGAAAAGAGACCTGCCCGAGCCCGGGCCTGTGGGATTCTCCTCCTTACCGACCTGGAGGAGGAATAGGTGGGACTGCCTGGAAATGGGAGCAAACAGTGCCCAGGCTGGAAGCACCTGCCAAATGGCACAGGGCCAGTGCCCACCACATTCGCAGTGGAGGTGACAGATTGAGAGAATGACAGAGTGCTGGCAGCCTTCGCCTCTGCTGAAGATTCCCGGGTGGGCTGCTGTCGGGATGGTGACCCTGCCTGACCTTGAGCACTTCTGGCTTGACGGCATGGGGAGACCGACCTACCGAGCTGCTGCCCAGGGAAACTAGGGACAGTTAGAAAAACAAACAAACACTTCAAGTCCTGGAAATGACCCTGAGGGCAAACAGAACAAGAACAAAAGTGCAACTTTTAAAACAACAGAAGAAACTTGATGTGCCCAACAGAAAGCAAAGGAGGGGAATGAAAATCAGCAAGAAGCACATATAAATCCACCGCATTTCTCTACACAAATAGGAACACATGGAGACCCAGGCTGAAAGCACACCACCACCCCAGTCACTCTAATGAAAGAAAATACTTTGATATACACATGTATCAGATTTGTGTGACAAAGTTTACAAAATGCCGGGAATGTCCATTCTCCCAAGATTGATCTATAGATGTAATTCCTACCAAAATCCCAATCCCAGTATGTCTTTTTGTAGACATAAACAAGGTACAGTGTGTGTGTGTGTGTGTGTGTAAAGGACCTCAAATGACTAGAACGTTTTAGAAAGCAGAATTAGGAGAAATTGCTCTGCACAGCATCATTGGCTTGTTGAATACCTACAGTCATCAAGACTGCATGGTGCTAGTGGAGGAACAGACGTGGACGGAGCAAAATGGACTTTTGACAAAGACATAAAAGCAATTCAACGAAGGAAGGAGAGAGGCTTTTCCACAAAGGGAGCTGGCACAGTGGGGCATCAATAGGCAAAAAAGTGAACCTCAACCTCTATCTATCTCTCAAAACGTACAAAAATCAACTCAGGATAGAACTTAGGCTGGGCATGCAGGCTCATGGCTGTAATCCCAGCACTTTGGGAGGCCAAGGCAGGTGGATCCCCTGAAGTCAAGAGTTCGAGACCAGCCTGGCCAACATGGTGAAGCCCTGTCTCTGCTAAAAATACAAAAGGTACCCAGGTGTGGGGGCATGTGCCTCTAATTCCAGCTACTCAGGATGCTGAGGCAGGAGAATCACTTAAACCCAGGAGGCAGAGGTTGCAGTGAGTCAACGTCATACCATTGCATTCCAGCCTAGGCAACAGAGTGGGACTCCATCTGGAAAAAAAAAAAAAAAAAAAAAAGATGGAACTGAAATGTAATGTAAAACCATGAAACCAAACAAAAGAAAGTACAGTTGATGGAAACTGTGAAATAAGGTGGAATATAACAATAAGTGTAATTAGGTTAAGCTTAATGATTAAGAAAGATAAATCTAAGAATAACAAAATCAATGAGATAATATATTGCTTAAAGACAACTTAAAAAGCACTGGAAGACTGAAAATAAAGAATGCTAGAAATTCCATGCAACTTTGAATGAACAGAAAGCTAAGATAGTGATTCTGGTAACTAATACAATGGAAACCAAGAAAAAAATACCATAAAGAACAATGATGGACATTATATACAGAAAAAATCACTCACATATAAAGATACAGTTATTATAACACAATATGTACCCCTGCAACATAACCTCCAAATACTGTGTGTGACATTTGACAGAGGAGGAGGGAGCAATAAACAACTCTTACTTGTATTTGTATAAACCAATAAGTCAAATCGATTTTTTAAAAGTGGATATGTAGACCATGTAAACCATAAGATCAATAAGCCTGAGTGAATCTTTTTGAGCACACTAAGAACATTTACAAAACTATACTGGACCGTGAAGAAAGCCCCCACAAATTCCAAGGGATCAGTATAATACAGAACATGTCCTCTAGCTAAAAGGCAATACAATTAGAAATGTATAACAAAAAACTTTTAAAATGCCTTATGTCTGCAAACTAATTAACATATTAGCAGGCAATTATAAGAGAAATTAAGAAATTGTCAGAATTGAATGTTAATTTGTGTTTTACAGCTACAGCAATGCCAGGAGGGAAATTATACCTTTAAATATTCTTATCCAGGCTGGGCGGGGTAGCTCACCCCTGTAATCCCAGCACTTTGGGAGGCTGAGGTGGGTGGATCACCTGAGATCAGGGGTTCAAGACTAGCCTGGCCAACATGGTGAAATCCCATCTCTACCAAAAATACAAAAATTAGCTAGGCAGGGTGGTGGGCACCTGTAATCTCAGCTACTTGGGAGGCTGAGGCAGGAGGATCACTTGAACCTGGGAGGTGGAGGTTGCAGTGAGTCAAGACCGTACCATTGCACTCCAACTTGGGCAAAAAGAGTGAAACTCCATCTCTAAATAAATAAATATACTTATCCAGAAACAAAAAGTTAAAAGCAAGTACATATTATTCAGGGTTCTCCAGGGAAATGAAACTGACCGGATATAGAGAGAGATTTCTTTCAAAGAAACAGCTCACATAATTGTGAAGGCTGGTAAGTCTAAAATCTGCAGGGTGATCCTGCAGGCTGGAGACTTGGGGAACACTTGCGGTTTGAGTCTGAGAGCGGTGTGCTGGCAGAATTCCTTCTTTCTTGGGTGAAGTCAGTCTTTATTAAGATCTTCAACTGATTGGATAGAGCCCACCTGCGTGATGGAGGGCAACCTGCTTTACGCAAAGTCCACTGGTTTAAGTGTTAATTCCATCCAAAAAAACACCTGCCCAGAAAACATTCCAAATGGTTTTGACCAAATATCTGGATACTGTGGCCCAGCCAAGATGACACATGAAATTAACCATCATGAAGGGTCATGAGTTGAACTGTGTCCTCCCAAAATTCATACGCTGAAGCCCTAACCTCTGGGAGCTCGGAATGTGACCTTATTTGGAAATGGGTTGCCGAGGATGTAATTAGTTAAGACAAGGTCAGTACAAAAGTTAGCCAAGCGTGGTGGTGAGTGCCTATAACTACAGTGACTTGGGAAACTGAGGCAGGATAATCACTTGAACCTGGGAGACAGAGGTTGCAGTGAGCTGAGATTGCGCACTGCACTCCAGCCTGGGCAACAGGGTAAGAGTCTGTCTAAAAAATAGACAAATAAAAAGACAAGATCACCCTGGAATAGGGTGGGCCCATAAAACGACCAGTGTCCTTATAAAA